GTGGGCGTATCGTAATGCATATAAAGTGACTACCAATTCCAAACCATTCCAATTGGTGTACGGACAAGAAGCAATATTACCAATTGAATTGGAAGTTCAGAGTTTATATATTGCATTGGATGAACGTCTTGGAGATAAGGAATCACTCCAATATCGGTTGGCAGAATTGGATAAATTGGATGAAATACGGGCTACAGCTCTCTTCAACATGGAAGCAACTCAAAAATGATGGAAGAGTTACTATGATAGTAAACTGCGTCTGAAGAGTTTTATGCCCAATGATTTGGTATTGTTGTATGATAGTAAGTTTAATCATTTTGCGAACAAATTTTAAGTATGCTAGCATGGGCCATATCGTATGATTGAAGGATTTTCCAATGGGTCTGTTCAATTGGAGGATTTCATGGGTCATCGATTCTGTACCCGCATTAACGGGAACCGATTATAGTTATATCATATATAAAACCCAGGACCGGTTTTCAATTTCTAGAGGAGGTCACGTCGAATGTACTTAGGAAAGACCTAATTAAGTGCATTAGGGTGTAGAAGCGGCTGAAAGGATAGTTAGTAATTACTAATGTGTCAGATGGGACAGAGGTAAAAAACAGATAGTAGGAGTAACATGTTGTCGTTATCACCACTAGATAAAAGAATAGGAGTGGGGCACCTATTTACGGTCATTCTCTGGTGTTGCATTCTGTTATTGTTTCTTTTCGGTGTTACAATTTCAGGTGTTTCGGAGTACTGGAGTGTAGTATTGACTGTTAGAGCTTGAAAGAGTGTGCATTATGGCGATTGAGAGTGCAAAGAGAGCTACGGACAAAGAAGAAAGTGGCCGAAATGTGAAAGCTAAACGCAATTTAGGACCACCATCCGTAGTAATCATTACCAATATGGAGCCTATGAAGCTGGAGATTTGCTGGACACCAAGGAGAATATGAGATTTTTGAAATGCGCAAATGTTTCAGTTTTTGCGAAGGTCAGATAGTTTGCCTTCAATTAATGTGGCATTAGTGGAAGAATACATCGCGAACTATGACCCACAGGATGGATCGAGCGTAGTACAAGGGTGCGTTATCGATATTGATGAGAAGATCCTCAAAAAAGTATTATTTCTTCCAGTTGGAGAGATTGCAGTGGGTGTTGAGGAGTCCAGTGACTTTCGACCGAGAAGTTATTTCGAAGGTGGCATATCATCGTTTGAGAAGAACCAAGGTTGGCGGACGGCTGAGGCAATTACACTAGAGCTCATGGAATGGTTGTGCTTTGTGTTGAGGCGTCTAGGGTTGTATCGATACAACACATATATGTCAAGATGGTTAATATTTGCAGTGGTAGGAATGTTTGAAGGGATGGTGTTCAATTAGGCAGCTTATATAGCAACCCGTATTCATGCGAAAATGGGAGCCAAGTGTAAAATAGGGAAGTTTACAGGGTTGCTATATTCCAATTATGTGTATGCTGTGATCGCGTACACATTGCGGCAAATATCGCCAGTAGAGAGAAGTTCTAAACCAGTGCCAGTGCCTCCGCAGCGAGAACGGAATTCGTTGGCATAAAATATCAATACAACGAAGGTAATACATGAAATTGGGGAATCTAGTCGTCCAGTGGCACCGGAAACGGTTCCGATTCGTTCGGTGGTGGAGGAGGAGAATGAAGTCCCGACGTTGTTAGATATCAATCAGTTAGTGTTTCCACAAGGCCGACTATCGGAAGGCATACATCTTAAAAATGCTCTATTGAAGTGCATTTCGTAAATACATTGCATGGTACGAGCATTGGATGTAAAGAGCAGTGGTAAATAGGAATTAGAGGCAAGCAAAAAGGTGATATCAGAGCAGACCCGAAGAATTGAAGAGCAAGAACGGATCATCCGAGCGAATGCGGAATCCAAGCTACTATTGGAGCAAAAAATTTGGGAACAACAGGAAGCTTGGGACAAAGAAAGAGAACGCATGGTAGAGACCCACAGACAAGAACTATTCCGGGCTCGCAATCATTCAATTTTGGAATTGGAAAAAGTGAAGGATCAATTGATAATGGAACGAGAAAAGGCCGAGTTATTGGCGCAAAAGAAATTGGTATTGAGTGACCAATAAAAATATGAAATGGAGCAGTTAAGGGCTGAAATTGAGGCCTTGAATGCTGAGGTGACAAGATTGGCAGAGGATTTAGTCAATATTGATCAAGCACAAGTATGGACGTTGCCAGTTTCCAAAGTTTCAGAAGAGAGGAGTCACTTTCAGTGCCAGTTGGAATGGAGAGATGCCCAGATCCTGAAATTGGAAGCTCAAGTCCGTGAATTAGGCGAGTACAATGAAGACCTTTTAGCTCAGTTGAGGCAGGACCCGATGGAAGGATTAGAGGAGGACGAAGATTTACAGTTGGAACCGGAATTGGTGGAACCAATAACAGATACTACAACAATTGATTAATTAGATAGGCCAGAGGGATTGCAATTTTTGTAGAATTTTTTTAAATAATTTTTAAATAGGTTTCAATTGAGTGTTTGCAAGGACGCTGCACAAATAGGAGTAGGGCTATATAGAATAGATATTAATTCATTTTTGAAAGATATTGGTAAAATATATTAATAGTCCATATAATAGAAAATTTAGGAGGACAGATGAGTGATTTAGTTATTAAAAGTGATTAATTATAGAATTACGGTTGGAATCTGGAGAATCAGGGGAAAGTATATAGGAGTTGTAGAAGTTAATTAAGGTGCCATTGTTGTAATAGTTGTGAGCCAGGGTAAGCTTGGTACTACCTCTTTTCTTTTGTTTGTTATTTTCTTTGAATAAGAGGATTGAGAGTTTCTGAATATTGTGAAGTGAATTATAGAATGGAAATGTGATTGGTATTATTTGAAAAGAAGAAAGATTGAATGCTAAAATCTGATTGTAGTTCAGTAAAGAGAATGAGTCTATGTTTGTGTGAAACACCGTAATATGAATGGCAGTTCTGTGTGAAGAATTCCAGTGATTGGAATGAGGGTAATTGTGTGTTGAAAGCTGTGAGGGCGCAGTATTACAATTGGAGATTATGAAGGTGAATATATTGGTGGAAATAGCAATTATTGGTATGACTGAATTGCTGTAAGGAAGAGACCGATAAGGTGAAGGAAGAGATTATAGTTTCCTTGTGTGTTCAGATATTAGAAATAGAGACGATACATTCAAGAGGTTATTGATTGTGTGACCCTAATGTGAACGCTTAAGCAACTAGTCATTCCCCGTGTTCAAATCTCCCTATACAAGTTTATTTGCATAAGATTAATTTGGAATAAGTAAAACGAGCAATCACAACTATACAAGGATTTAGGATTAAGCTAGAGATACATACATGTATACTATATAAGGATTTAGGATTAAGCTAGAGATACATACATGTATACTATACAAGGATTTAGAATTAAGCTAGAGATACATACATGTATACTATACAAGGATTTAGAATTAAGCTAGAGATACATACATGTATACTATACAAGGATTTAGGATTAAGCTAGAGATACATACATGTATATTATACAAGGATTCAGGATTAAGCTAGAGATACATGCATGTATACTATACAAGGATTTAGGATTAAGCTAGAGATACATACATGTATACTATACAAGGATTCAGGATTAAGCTAGAGATATATACATGTATACTATACAAGCATTCAGGATTAAGCTAGAGATACATCCATGTATACTATACAAGGATTCAGGATTAAGCTAGAGATACATCCATGTATACTATACAAGGATTCAGGATTAAGCTAGAGATACATGCATGTATACTATAGAAGGATTCAGAATTAAGCTAGAGATATATGCATGTATACTATACAAGGATTCAAGATTAAACTAGAGATACATGCATGTATACTATACAAGGATTCAGTATTAAGCTAGAGATACATACATGTATACTATACAAGGCATAGTAGCCATATAGTCATTGCTGAGCTTTGCTCAATGTAGTGTATTAGTCTGTTGTTAATCTAGGAATCCTATCCCGAATGCTATGTGCAAGCGGACTTCGATAATCATCACAGATCCTGTCTTCCTTGTGCTAGTTCTACGGCTCCTCCTGGAAGGACCAGATATGTTTCTTTTAAAATGCCACACCGTTGGGGACCGGTGCATCCGACTTTGCTGACCAGCAACAGGGTTTGTTGGAGAAGCTTTTAGCTACTGAGATGTGCATAGGATGCACCAAAAAAATATGGACAATAGATCAGCATACCATTGACCCCCTAAGACTTATCTCCTGAGTGCAGATATTCTAGCGGTAGCATATCAATATTGAGTTTCCGAAGACCTGCGGTAGACGCAAACAATGGTTAAACAGGACTGCAATCTTAAATGGTATCTTTCACCAGGCCATGATAAGAATCCCTTGTTCGTCACAAATGAATCCAGTATCTGCTTTTGCAGCTTGTCCTGGCTCCTTTCGAACAACAAAAATACTCAGAATGAAGCAGTGAACAATACCCTTCTGCCTGAATTGCAAGATGAAGAAACATTCGGCAGAACCTATGGAGGTTCTGGAGAAGACTGTCGTTAGGAATCTCTTTGTGAGTGGTTTAGATGGTTGCGAGTTCTTACTTGATGCAGTTAGGACGATCCTCCAGATCTTCTTCACTGAAAAATTAGTATTCTATATTGCAGATCTACACGTGTTGGTGATTCATATATGTTCGTGATGCAGATCGATACAGAACTTGTACCATTGACCGGGTTTAAGTTCTCTTACTCCCTTGGCCTTAAAGCAATGTTGAAGAGTCTGTTCTACGGGCATGTCTTAAATTCTTCCATCGAATGCTGCACAGTGCACATCCAAAAGAATGTCGCAGAACCGCCTCTTGTTCAATGGTATTCCAGGTGCCGTATGCACATCATGAACAATTCACCAGCATTCACTGAAATGGCAATCAAGCAAGTTGATTCTCCAGTTGAAACCATCAATGCAACAGGTTCAAGCTTTGATGTACACAGCATATAAAATGAAATGCTTGCATATAAATATGTCATAAAATGGCAGCGAGATGCACAAAAGATGCATTACAAACTCAGGCTTCAGTAACTCAGTTATGCATGTCCCCATGAACTCACGAAATGTGATTAGATTTATGCCTGACCCTGTGAGGCCTTCAATTCTTGTTTCTCTCACTACGAATTTTTCGGAGAGTATCATATTTCACAAGCTCTCTTCTCAACTATCTCAACTCATCGTTATCTACATAAATTTGAGGGTTGCCACGGAAGGAGGGACGCCTGGGATCAAGGCGCCCTCGTAGGTATCGGTCGTGAACACGAGGAGAGTCGACACCAGAGTGAGGGATAGGAGGCGGCAACCCACCCATGATCTTCCCTGAGTCGGATTCCGTCAGGCTAGAAGGTCCACTTCTCCGACCAGAAGCATTGTTTACGTATGTAGTCCGTTTAAGAAAAGATTGAGAACCACGCCTGTTACCTAGATGTCCTGCTGAAAATGCCTCCACGAAGCACAGCACGTTCAAGCGAGTCCTCTCGAGCTCCATGGATAAGTAGGTCTGGATGTGGTCCTGTGCAAGGCCCTGTAGACACGAACCCAGTCAGCGCTCGCATGTCAGAATTACAACCTGATTAAAGTTTGGGATTTAAGGCTGTGTTCGAAGGGGTAGGGTGACATGATTGATTTTGAGCCGTAGTAGTGTAAAACAATACCTGTAAATCATCGGGAGTCATTCCCCCATAATCGTATCCATCTTGGCTTCCTCCTCTAATGGAACCTCGGCCATGATTTTGTGGATCTGTCATTTCGGCAACAGTCTCCATAACCGCGTGCAGTAGTAAAGCACGAAAGTTTGCAGCCAATTCATTCGCTTGAGGAGTCAAATATCCCTCCAAAACGGTTTGCACATACTCTAACTGCCATCAAAAAACCCAAACCAAGAACAAGTTCAATCAAAAGGTTTGAGAGATCCACATTCCGCAACACGAAAATGGAGTCAGACAATTGTGTCAGTTGTTTTGCATGAAAAAAAGGCGTACAATACCTCGAGCATTAGTTGACAGTATCCATTAATATCAAATCTGAAAAATGCAGTGTTTTTGTTATCGTTAAAAACAGCCACCAACGTATCCATCAGAACCTCTACAAGAGAGTTGATAACTTTCTCCAGAAATGGTTTGGCCCCAGAAAAAACCTGCACATCAAAGCAACCACACAATCGGCATAATAAAGTTTTTGTAAAATAAACGTAATACAGATGCTTGACATTAAAGGTCTGTTTACAATAAAGCTTGTTGCTCCCCAACTTGATGTCAATGTAAGTTGTAATTAATTAATAATCAGAGATAGATCGACTTCAATTCAGACCTAATCGTTTTAGAACGAGGTCCAAGTAGGATTTTGTGGATAGAAAATTTAGTTACAAAGATGAGAGCTAACCTCTGCATGAGTGCTGACCAAAGGATGAATTAACTCCATTAAAGCGCAACGGAAACCCTGTTTTTCATGAAACCCAATTTGAGAAAATCCGCCAAAAGACGCACAAGTTGTGGATAAATATGTAAAAATATATATATATATATATACATACACACACATAAAAAGCATTGAAATAAATGAGATAACAAGGCTTACTTTAACTGGAGGGGTGGCAGACCATTGGCTGCCATCATACAACAGACACGCTTCTGTCGCTCTCAGAATCTCTCTTGCCTGCATTTCAAGGACAGTCTATCATTCACCATCACATATTGAGTCACCAAACAAAACAGGTAATAGTCACAACCTTCTTTAAAGACTGACTGATGTCAAACTAAATCAAGGCATTCATTACTTGCAAGGGCCTAGATCTAAAAATATATGCAACATAGCCCATTAACCACTCGCCTTAGCAACGTTATAGTGATTTAGAATCTTCTTCTCTAATTCAGAGAGAGTGTTTGTCACTTCTTCGTAGGTGGCCATGTTACCCCCTTTGCTGGTCGAATCAGACCTGAAGCACACCACGAGAAACTAACATGTGAGGGGCAAGACATAGAAAACATAATAAAATTAGCAATATTCAGATGAAAAACTAATAAAAAATTTACAATAGGGTTTATCAATGCTGATAGAACTTACCCTTCATAGGTCCAAACATGCTCGTATTTCCGTGTTTGCTCTGGAAATAGAGTAGAAAGGCAGAACCCAACATTGCTGAGCACCATAAGCAGCCGCTGATGGGTGCTAGTGATCTCCACTCCAGCTAGAAGCCCCACAAATCCATCCTCCCACTCTTGTCCCTCTTCATCTTCCTCAGTCTTGTCCTCGGTTGTTGCAACGGCCAATTCATTCGCTAGTTTCTCCAAATTCCCTGCATTAGGATGATCTCAAAGAGCAGCGATCAGGATTCAATCCACTCGCACATTCTGCTCCTGCCACCTCAATTTAGAACTAAATACTGAAAGCTTCTGCATCTGCGGTGGCTCTAAACTATTGTATAGATTTGTTTCATGTTAGGATCAAAAAAATGAAACTACTTACCAGCGAGTGCTAAGAAGCACTCAAAAAAAGTATAGCGAACTGTATCCTGCATCTGGTGCAACTGCAGGATCATATCCTCGTGGAGTTCAGATCCATCCTTACGTAATCTCTCCAACATCCTGACTCCACACCCAATAGAACGGCACCATAAGACCCCACCATTCAAGTAAACGGAAACCTGAAAGAAAAGAAAACTCTAATGGTCAACAGCAACAACAAGCCAGCAATTTGAAGGACCATCAACGACAGTCAGCGACAGAGAAAGGTTGATTACTCTGTAAGGTGATCCAAGGACGTCACCAACAAATCTTGGAACCGCAGTGGAAGGCTTGAGATTGCATACGGCGAGGAGGTGCGTTGCGCCGCGGCAACAGGCACCCAATCCTCATCAATTGCAAACTGTGAAACTGCCGTGTGCATTAGTGAGCAGACACGGAGTACAAAGATCTTTGTCACCTCAGTCCGCAACGCCAACAGCATTTGCACTGGCAGCATTGCAACAAAGGAAAAATGAAAACTTATTCGTCAAAACGTAAATGAAAGCAACTCAAAGTTTGGTGAAGCTTTAAGCTCCAAAAATATTCTCCACGTATCATCAAAAACAGGGTACATATCAAATCTACACGTTTAATCAGCTAGAATGGTTCTAATGTATTGATTATGTAGAAAAGGTAAATCATGGTCACCTGCGCTGCTTGGGGCAGCGTCATTATTCTTAAGAGCAGTATAAGCTCTTGATACTTCAGCAAGCGCGTCTCGCATGTATGGACGCAAAACATTCGCTTCTGCAAGCTGTAAGAACGCAGCATGGACCTGCGGATACATGCAATGCACCATCATCAGATTAAAATTAAAAACCAACGAAGACAACTCACATAAACTCAACCCTGATTCCTAGTATCTAGAAATGCCAAAAACATAGACATATGCTTACTTTAGATTCGTAAAGAAAAATGGTGCAATGGACCATCGTCTCCACTTCCTCCAGTGTGTGTGAAGTCTTAGGTACCCTATCTGATCCATCACTGGACAGTGAACCAGTGCTACCCCGAGACAAACTCCTGCCCACTGCACTTGTTCCCTGCATCCCCAACGGATCAATGCATCAGTTAAGGTAAACTGTATTGATATCAGTTGTACATTCGTGGGCATTGTGAAAAAAACTGTAAAAATATAACTCGCATAATAGGGACGTAAACAATATTAGAGGAGGAGAATAAATACCAAGGTTGCATAAGGTGCTGATAACAAGCTTACCGTGGCAAACTTCCCAGTGACTATGGACAATGCGAGACGCCAGAAGAGGGGTACGTGATGCACAACCACCAAGGTGAGCCTTCGGATGAAACGTCCCAGCAAAGCATCTGACTCGTTGCTTGTGGTATCAGCAAGGCTCCCCACTCGAACATCTTTTTCATTTTCTCCAAGCAGTAATGCATAATCTACGTCGGACTGGAACAGAACATGCACTTATCAGAGTCGCCAGCTCAATCGTATGAGCAGTAAGCTATATAGTGCTTACATCAAGTTCAATGTTGCAGAAAACACTCCATTTATGACACCAACAATTACTGTAGAAAAAGGGAGACTATTGAGATAAGGCGTATTACCTTGTTTGATTGAACTTGGAGCTTTTTCCAACGAGCGTCTGACAGAACACGGTCCCGCACTCGACCGGAAAAGGCGTCCATACGGGCGTCATGCTCCAGGCTACATCCTTCCAGAAGTCCACGTATCTTCCGATCCTGTAATAAATTGATTCATCGCAATTGGGCATTCTCTATAGTGTTGACGGCTAGAAAACAAAAGAAATACATTCAACCAAATACCAACCCTAAACCAAATACATACAAGATGCCTGATAGAAATACGAATTCCCTGATCATGTCAAACCATGTGTTCGAACATTTGATACAATTCTCTAAATAAATTGCTACCCTTGTTCAGAAATAAGAACATGATGAAGAGCTATTGCAGGACTTGGCTTTAATACCTGGACGTTAAGGTAGTGCCAAACTGGATCGCAATTTGGTTCCAGCTCCAACAGCAGCCGAATTGTGGTCTCCAACTAGAGATCATGAGCATTTATTTAGCTCAGTAAGATCTTCAAAACGTCATGTGTACATATTTTCATAGTTGTGATTAGAGGTAGCAGTTTAATTTGCTACTTACCTGTGCAGCTTCAATGTGAGGATCTTCCATAGACTTGTATAATGTTTCCTTGAACTCTTGAACAATCTTGTCTACCTCCTCTAACACTCTCTTGAGAATACCCACCTGGACATCGAAAAGCACTGATGAGCTCTATGAAATTAAAATGCTACTAAACCATTTGCCACACATTCGTAGGAATTTAGTAAAATCCGATGCAATTAGAGCTTTAGTAACGCACATGAGAGTATAGATCCAAGGACTTGGCCTTCTTGTATTCTCGTATGGCTTGGTCGTACTCTCCTTTGCTGATATAAGTTCTGATGATGCTCGGCAGATTAAAAAGAGTTCTAAATCTTTGTAGCATCCCTTGCACGGAACGAATACGTTCTACTTGAGCCTACCACCATAAAGACCAACTCTTGAATAAGTCCACCCTGATATTTGCTACTTTGACAAGATAAGTTAAGAGATGATATAACTTGACAAGAAGATTTAGCACTAGTTGAATACAGAACCTGCCGCTCCAAAAGAGGCGAGAACGCATGGTTTGCAGCATCTTCCACCTGCTTGATGGAGTTACTAAGGTGCTGAGTGCCACCTCCCTCAGTGCTTGATTCTATCTGCTGCAGCTTCGAGTGAATGTCTGTAACCATACAATGCTTCTTTCAAATCAAAGCCCTCATTAAACACATGCACATAAGAGCGTGAAACCATGAGCCCCAAAATGACATAAAAACTGTCAGAATAACAGCAATACACTCACCATCGATAGTGTTTTTACATGAAATAAAACAATCAAAATTTTCCTTCACGAGCTTCTTCAATTCGTTGTTGCGCTGTTTTAGGTCTTGGTTCAGCCCCTCCTCTGCTCTCTCCAGATCGGCAGCCAAAGTATTCTGGTGCACGTGGGATAGGAAGAACTTGGGATCAAACTTCTCTGAAAAATAAAGCAGCTTTTCTGCAAGACAAACACAACAGATTATTTCTTATGCTGATTCTCAGCGCTCTTCTCTACGACGAGTAAACCAATGAAAGGGTTAAGAAACGGTTCCTAATCGATCCTAAAATAATAACTTAACAAGTAACCTAATGAAGATAAAAGTAGAAAAGTAGAAACCCTGGCTTCCTCAATTAGCACAATACATCTATCAGATAAACAACCGGAGTACATACCTCTGGTTGCCTGGTCTCTAATCACTGGAGCTTCATCCTTTCGAGGAGAAGCCTCGTCTTCTGCTGTAGGAGCAGTAACAGCTTGTACAGCGGGTACTTTAATGGACTTCCTGCTGCGAAGAAATCCCCGCTTACGATCACTTCCTTGTCCAATGGAAGCAGCAGCGGTCATATTTGCAGGAGAGCTGTCATCGCCTTTCGTAGTCTTCGGAACAAGAGTTAAAGATCGCACATCAATGACACTGCAGTTCGACAAAAATTGTAGCGTCAACAGCAAGATCCTGGCTAACAAATTCTGAGATTTCTGAATAAAGCTATGCATGAAAACCAAGAAATGAGCTTTAAATTTTCTGCCTAAAGCTGCAGCCTAGGATCTGAATGAGTTGATAGAGCCAATAGAAAAGTTCAGAACATGAACACTTTGAAGATATTGTGCACTGAAATAAAGTCACGCACCCAAGTCCCAAAGGATCAATAAAATCGTCGCTGTAAGAAAGAACAGGATCCACCACGGATCTCTCCCTCAGGTTTTGGGTAGCAGAATACGCTCCTCTAGTTTCTCGAAGCTCCCGCACCCGTCTTTCCAGCTGCATTCCAAACTCTCTCAACGCTCATCAAAGGCATAAAAAATAAAAAATAAATAAACAACAAATAAACAAACAAATATGGATAATAGAAGCAATGAGCTTTCAAAAACAACTCTTTGACTTGAACCAGATTGTTTATTTGGCTGTTTAGGTTGTGAAGATAATCACTGAGCTATCGTGCTTGCACATTAGAGAAACGCCGCACAAAGAGACAGCAAAGACACACAAACAATTGGCAAGCAATTTGAGAGTAATGAGCACTTGAACTCACTGACCTCAGTTTTGTAGTAGGGTTTCCATGTCGAAGGTTCTTCCTCGTAATCTTCCTCCCACTCATTTTCATGTGCATCTTCCGCTGAGAGTTTGCCGTTCGCATCTAAATGCTTCAAGCCTCGGCCGGATGGGCTTTCATCTTCGGATGAGATGCTGAGCATGTCCACTTCGTCGTCGTCGTCATCTTCAACTGGAGGACGTGTTTGCCTAGGCTGTAATGCACCCTGAGGTGCTCTCGTGGGATGTCCTCCCGGTTGGAGCTGCGGCGCTGGTCTACTAGGAGGTGCCTTAGCCGGTGGAGCTGCTTTGCTAAGAACGAGGGACTTGGGGGGATCAACCGAGGTAGGTTTATTAGGAGAAGTCCGGAGGTTCGCTTCTCTCGCTGCCTGCTCCGCCAAAGCTCTCTGTAAAAGCTCCTCTTCTTCGTCGTCTTCATCGTGTCCTGGCGCCCGCGTCGCCATTGCACTCTCGAATTATTGATGAACTCTAGCGATGCAGCTTCTGTAAAAGAATATATTCACGAAGGAAGAGCCAAGAGATTAGATTGATTAGGAAGCTCGATTTAATTGCATGCAACTTAGAAGGAACTGTAACGAGAAAAAAAAAAAAAAAAAAAAAAAAAAAAAATCTTGTGGACACGAGATTCTCTAACCTAATACATTGCTCAAATACACCATGCAGATAGCACCTTTCCTCGGGCATCCTTCAGAGCGGGGATTGGATTCGGCATTGCAAAAGGACATCTATGATACTAGTGTTTAAGAAAATAATATACGAAGAACGTTGCAGAGTGGAATCAGGGTTGGGTTTTGACAAACGAAGCATCGCTATGATGAAGGGGAAAGAGTCTAATCCTGCGGAAAGCTCGGGGATTCCTTGCATAGGGTTAAATATATAAGTACCCTTTCCAGCGCTTGGTGTCATGTGGTAGGAATTGTAATCGAGTGCACGGGATGAGCGAGAACCGTGCATTGAATTCGCATGATTGTTGCGTGACGAATGGAAGTTGACGCTAGGTCTAGAAGCTTACAATTGTTTTGCTGGTTGCTAAACCAGCAAAACACAACAACAAAAATCTCCCACGGCAAGTGGATACTCCGCACTCTACTCAAAACTTCCTCTCCCCGACCAATGCACCAACACCGACGCAATCATTAAAGATCAGTACGAAATACCCGCGAAACTAACAACCTGACAACAATTCATCACAACCAGAAAGACCAGCTGGCCATCGAGTACCACCCTCACGAAAGATGAGTGACAAAGACCTCGCCACATAAAAGATGAGCCTCCTAGCTGTCACCTCAACACAGAAGAGTCCACTAATTGTACTCGTGCGAGCAAAACCGGACGATTCCAGGCACATGACAATGAGCTCACCGGGAACGGTCAAACGACACTGAAGGAAACCCCAATTGACGCTTGTGCAGATTGTCAGCGTGTAGCGTCTGGACTACTGCTTCTGTGCCCCTCTTTCCTCCGAGTCCCTCGCCTCGCGATTCTACCTATATCCCATTCACCAGGTTTTCCGAATTCCGCTTCCAGAGCGTGACTGAGGGACGTCGGGGATTCCCTGTGGTTTCTGCACTGGATAAGTGCCTGAAGCAGTTTCCCTCTGGACTAATAAAATTTGATTGCACATGTGCTTATATATATATATATATATATATATATATATAAATATAATTTTGATTGCGAGGCCCAGCGGCTTTAAATGAACGATGCGTGAGCCTCAGGGGTTTTGCACCTCCGCTCCTGCAATTGCGCTCACCTGAAAAGGCGAGAAGTCTGGAGTGAGGACAATACTTTCTCCACTTAACCCCCATACCCACCCCGCGGCAGGAGTTCTAGCCTAGTGCCGAGGGGCCAAAACGAGTACCAATCGATGCCGCGATCTCCTTGGATCATTCACACAGGGGGGGACTTCGGCGTATTGGTCGGTTACTTCCTTTTTCTTTTCGCCGCAACAGCTGCGACAGGTCCTCAAAGAACCCGATTGAGAGCTCCGTGTGCACACCGCAGTCAGTGTCAGATTTATCGGATCTAGGCACCTGATGCATCCACACGAGACAGAAACCTGATCGACCAAAGTACACCTGGTTAATCAAGATTCACCAATTCCGTCGCCACCTTATTCTCATGTTCCAGTTACCTCACACTTCGACACCAAAGCTGCGTTGTCAGATTCGGGCCGCTGGGGCCGACGCAGTGAAATCCAACGTAGCAGTGGGCTTGTGAAAGAGCAAATAGAGCCCCAGATTCATGGCTTGATTAAAACGGCGCGGAAGGGACCCTCTCTCGGTCTGGCCCCGACGGAAGGATACCTCGGCTCCATTCGTCAACATAAAAAAAAGCTAGTCTCCTACTTCGGTCACCAGCAGACAAAATTGGAGAGGAATTTCTATAAACGGGAGCGAAGTTGGAGACAGAACAGATTCTCATCGTCGACGCTGTTCATGAGAGAGTGAGACCGTCCTCCTCGCCCTGCGTCGCGAGCTTTTGCCTCAGCATATGGCAGCGTCCCGCGCTTGCCGTGCCAGGCCATGCTTATCCGCGGGGACCGGCACCCAAGGCTCACTTAGCACGCCATTATACAGGTCTATATACCGGGCCCGGCATACGAGTGGCCATGCTTTCGTCACGTCAAGTTCGCTGATATGTGCTGCATATTTTCATGGCGTAGGACTCTCTTGCCTGAGGAGGACATGCTCTATCCATTTTGTAGACGTAATATAAGAATGTGGTTGGTCAATTTCACATGTTTTCTTTTTTCTATTTCTTTTCTTTTCTTTTTCCTTTTCTTTGTTTGATTGTCTTCTTAAAGAATCCAAGAGCAATAGATAATTTAAACGATTGAAACAAGATTGGAAAATCAAAGCATATTTTTCAATGCAATAAAGCAATAAAAATAAAACCGGTATTTTCTTTGGTACTTTTTGATGATTTTGAGATTGTGCTAAGTGTAAATCATCATAATTTAAAACATAAAAGCCACAATTGCTTTAATCTATGTTTTTTCATCACTAAATTTTTACATTTTTTTTTTCTTTCTTACAAGTTGCCTTGTGAAGAGTGCAATACAAATACAGAATAGAATGTTTTTATATGGAAAACAATATATATATATATATATATATATATATATAGAATTCACAGTAAAAAAAAATGTGGGTTTTTGTTTATGTTTTATCAATTGATTTTGAAAATGACCCACAACAGCATTACTGGAAAACAAATATACTATTCAACATTTACAATTAAATGCTTTTATTTTCTATAGAGTAATCATTTTTTATTATTCTAAAATACTACGTCATTCTTTGAATATACTGCAGATACTATATACATATATATAAGTACATATGTATAAAGCATATTTATATGAATTGAAATATGGTAATTAAAGACAACTATAAATTTTATTTTGAACTAAATTCAGCATGTTGAGATAGGCTAAGATGAGCTCAAACACTTATAATGTTATATGCTTATAATTCATAATTTCAATTACGATATATATATATATATATATATATATATATTTGTTTCAAGATTAAAATGATTTAGTTACTATGTTTTTAATTTTATGATACAGAGCATAAATTCAATTTATCTCTTCCAATTCAGATATAAAACATTTGAATAGAATTTCTTGAATCCAAATGTCTTGCAGCAGATTCCAACCTGCAACAACCAACTTGATAATTCAATAATGATAATAGATAATTTAATTAATTATACAAGGATAGATAAATATTTTATTTTATTTTATTCTGAGTGATTACTATTAAGGATAAGGATATCAATTTTTTTCATTTTAAACTCTCTATGTAGTTAATTGCATAAATCAGAATCATAAATTTTTAGTGGGATCTGAAACTACTGGAATATCTTATGAACTTATATGAATAATTATAAAAAAATATTTTAATACTAGCACATCAATTACATGTATTATGTGTAATCACTATAAATTGATTGAGATTTTAAGCATGCTTATGAAAAAATTCATAATGTATCATTTTTTTTTATCATGGCATGTATGTTAAAATTTAAAAAATAAAATAACTTGATGTTGTGTTATGTAAAAATTAACTTAAGGATACGCTAGGCATGTGGTTGTGGAGAGATTTGAACTTACCTTGAAGTTTGATTTATAACCCAAAACAATAGATAAGGTGTCTACAAACACCATTTCACAACCTAAAACAACCTAAGTAATCTTTCAATTATCCTAAGTACATTCTATCAACCTTAAAAAATCTTAGATATATCTTATCACACTTTAATCAATTTTAAATAAATCCTAAATAATCTCTAATCCAATTCTAGCCAAATCCAAGTTAAATACTATTAACTTCTAATAAAACCTTGTTTAGACTTTATTTAAATCGTAATCAAATACTAACAAAATCCTAATGAAATCTTAAAAAAAATCTTTTGAATTCTTAACCAAATTCTAATCAAATTGTAATAAAATCTTAATCAAATCTTAAGTAATCCTTATCAATATTTACCAAATCCTATAGCAGATTCAAAACTACAATAATTAATAATTTAATTTTTGATCTTAATTAAAAATTTGCACAGTTCTCAACTTTTTAGTTAAAAACAAACACAAAAAATTTAAAGAAGATTGAATTTATCAAATGGGAAAAAAATTTCATAATTTGCTTAGTCATTGGCTGGTCTCTTTTTCCAATTTCAATGCTAATCTCTTACTACCAATATCTCTTGTTTTTAGTGTTTAATTGCTCTTAAAATTTCCAAATTTGATAAAAATCTAATTTGCCACAAATATGCCAAATTTTATCTCACTCCAATGAATGGTTTGTAAAAATCTTAAAAACCCTTACAAATCCTCTAAACTCTAATTTCCAAACTTCAATACACTTAAATTTTAATATCCTTTAATTTAGTTATTTAATCAAATTTAAACTTACAACAAACATTTAACATAACTATAATCACAAATCTATAGATTTTCACCTCTAAATTTGCTATAAATCTCACAATATATTCTTAAAAAAAAAAAAAAAAAAAAATCCATTTTTATTTCACAAAAACCATGACCACCCTATAACAACCTTAACTTTGCAAAGTTCTAATAAAGTCTATACAAACTCATTACAAACTCTAATCAATCAAGACTAATGTACAAAGAACCTTTTTCTGATTTTCTCTCAAATTCCATTCTCTAATCAACATAAGAACCTCAATTTTTTGTGAGAACACAATTTTGTGCCCACTTTTAGTTTTTTTAAGTAATTTTTTCTAGAAGCAACTATTTACTTTTATCTTAAGATGTCCATAATATTAATTTCATTAATCTACCTTATTTTGTCTTATTTATGGTCCTATTAAGTAAATAGAAGCTCATTTTATAAAAAGACAATATTATCACTTATTAGTTTTATTACCTCCTTGACTATTATTTATTTTTCTAAGATAATCTTCTATTATATTTTAAAATGGGATCTTCTATGATGTAATGTTTTCTTCTCTCTTTCACCCATTAGGCAAGTTACAATATAACATTGTCATCAAACGTAGCTTAGTTTCTAAGCTACCTACCTCATACTTCTATCAAGTTCTTAGAATGTTCTAGAAATATCCATTATGATGAAGAAGATTCTTTAAAGGTTCTAAAATCATCTTTGAATGTTTGTAAGAGAAACAACTTACAAATTGATATTTAGGCTACAAACCTTGCAATCTCTATTAATCTTGTGGAAGACATACTTCATAGCTTATACATATGGATGCAATAATGATGCCATCATCAATGTTATCAACACTTTAATTAAATTCTGGTCTAAATTCAAGAATTTTAGTTTCTTTATATTTGATAGTATTCAATTTAGTTCTTTTCTATCTTATAAGTATTTTTTTTCTTTCTTGTACTTTCTTTCTTCATTAATGACACATAATTATATTATTTTTTATACTTTTTTCTAAATTTGTGTCTTTAGTACCAATACAATTTATTTCTTTTAATATACATTTGATAAGTCTTTTTAAGTTTATATGTTTAATAATTATATAACTAACAGTTGGCATTACATAGAATACTATTGTAATTATAAGTCAATTTTTTTGTGAATTACAACATAATATAAAAGATTTGTTTCTAATCTTTTTTTTACTCTCAATTATAAAGTTAAGATGTTTGTATTTATTCTTTTATCAAGAACAAAAATCTTTTCTTTGGATCTTGTATAAAAGTTTATATAGTTATAATTTGACACATCCAAATTTCTATAGGAATTATTAAAATTCTTTAAAGTACATAATAAAAATGAAAAGATACAAATATGTTGTGGTAAATGTTTTTGACAACATAAATAATTCTTTATTTTTTAAAAAAGATTTGTACTTATAAAATATTAAAAAATCATAATTTTCTAAAAAGAAAAGCTAAAAAAAACCATTGATGAAGATTACAAAAAATCAAATTTTCTAATTTTCTAATTGAATTTTAAAAAAGAAAAAATAAATAAAAAAAAGAAGCTAGATTCTTTTATTGCATAATCTTTAAATATTTTATGTAGTAATTTTAATCTCTAAAAAAATATATATTATAATTTTATTATAATTCTAAGATTACTTCCTTCTAAATTTTATTATATAATATTCATATTTTAATTTTCTACCTTAAATAGAAAATAAGTTTGGTATTTAAAGATAATAAAATACATACTGAAATAGAATTAGCTTACGTCTATTCATTAGAAATGTATGATACCTTGTCTTAAAGATTTATCTACTGAGAGGTAAATAGTAATACATGCCATCTTATGTCAATGTTCCTATTGTCTTTGTGCTAATGGAATACAATTAACAAACTTCTTATTAGCTCCACTCACAAGAAGCAAAAATTATTTTAATTAAGCAACAAATTGAATGTGTAACTTCTATGTTTGATATTTTGTGACAATTAGTTCCTCAATATCGACTTTTGAAGCACTATTCTTCATCTCCATTAATCTTCCATAGTGACTCAACCTCTTTACTGGACTACTTCATGAGTTTTTGTAAAACAACGGCAGAAGTAGTGTCTGCGTTAGGAATGAACAGGGCCCATTATATGTTAGTATGCATAATGATTCAACCTGTAAAGATGGCTTGATGATAATGTTTTTTAACTGTCTTTGATTGTTGTGTAATTTGCTTTTGTGAGGTTTTATTTTATTTTATTTTATTTTTTGATTTGTACTGTTTTTGGTTTTTTCCATGGCAAGAAGAGCTCCAAATGCTTTTATGTGGAGCTCAGAGTTTGTGGGCGTTGCTACCCTGTCAACATAGTCCAGTGCCGTCTGTCCTTTGGACACCTTCACTGTGAAGAGTACTTCAGGACATTGTTTTTGAGTCCACAGGCTTTGTCTGAGTGTGGTTGTGTTAGCCATGGTGGCCATGAGGATGGTGTTAATGTTGTGTAGCCACCTAGTGTGCGGTAATCTTGGCGTACTTTTTCTTGTGCGTCCTTCTGGAGCGAAATTGATTTGGATTTATCATTTGATGAATTTGTTGGCTACCTTTTGTTGAATTTTGACGTTGGGTTTGTGATTTAAAATTGGAGGTTGTCAACAAAAATCGTAGTACTTATTTATACTACGATAAGGACTTAAAATTTAGGCACAGAAGACTGCAACGCCTAAATATACAACTCGCCTCAAATGTCAACTCAAGCCATGGAGCATAAATAAATAGATTTATGAAGCTAATTTTTTGACACTGTCAAATTAAGCATGGAAAAGTAATCATTGCTTGTTAGCAACGAGAAGCAAGCATGTACGAACTTAAGATTGCTGCTTCCTGTGCACTTTCACAAACGAAAAGATTTGGTCTAGAACCTGAAACCCAGATCTTTGACAACGTCAGAACGCAGGCTTCAGAAGGTTATGGTATCCTTGTAAAATGTAATAAATTTTGTTCATACCTTGAAACTGCACTTAACATCCAAGGTCATCACCTCCTGTCCTAGCGCTGCAGCAAATATGAACTTTGTAGATGGAACTAATCTATATTATTGCTGTGGTTACCCGAAGTGAAGAAGGCGCTCCCTTATTTGAAAGAGAATACTCAGGTTTTTGAACATAAAAAACTGCTGAAATTGAGGTCTACGCGACAGGCGTCCTCTAAACGGCTAAAGGAACTTCTTTGGCGGCCCGGTCGGCACACACTTGGGCCCATGCTTTAGATCTTTCAGCACCTTCTTTCCATCTCTTTCTCCTAGCAGTATCACGAGCAGTGATGGCTATTCTCTTCTGCTCCCTCCGAGTGTGCGCTTGCATCTATATTCAAAACCCCGACGTGTATTTGAAGTCAAAACATGGCCGTGAACAATCACGCTGTGTGACCTGCAAAGTAATCGACGGTGAAAAGAAATCACAAAACGAAAAATTATTGATCGGCTGGTCACCTTTCATGCCAAATCATAACGTACCTTAGCAAATTCGGCTCGCTGTGCCATGCGCTTTTGATGATTCCGATTCCTAACACTCCCCTGATTCGGTCGGGAATCAGGAATTTCTTCCCCTTCCGGAGGTACAGGCAGCATTGCATACGGAGCTGCATTCAAAATTACCAGAAGACATAATAAAGCCGAAATTCAAGAAACTTTGAAATAGAAATTAGGGTTTAGGGTACAATCGATCAATCAAGAAAATCAGCTTTGAACCCAGCTGGGAGAGACTACACCCACCGCCTTGCCATTTCTTCGCTCTCTTCGCATAATGCCTAACGCCACCAAGGGCCGGCACGAGGACCGGCTGCCTAGGGAGCTTCATCAAACTCAAGCCATCGGCATGTGAGGTTGAGACTCTTGACAACGCACTCGAAAGCAGCCGGGAAAGAGCAAATCCGGATCCTGGGGTGTCGTTCGAGGCGAGTGAAGATGAAGAGCGAAATCCCGCCAACGATGATCGCGCGGAGGATCGCAGTAACGCCGCAGCCAACGCCCTCGAGGCCGCCATGCCTGAGACGTCGACGACCAAACAACGACAAACACATTCCCTGAAAGCTGCGAAGAGCTACAGAAGGAGGAAACCAGCGCCTCCTGAAATTGATACCCGTTGAATACCGGGTATAGACATCTGTAAGCGGGTATAGATAAGTCTCATTTTGACTCTCTGGAAGTGGAGGTCAAGCTAACATCGACACACAGAATAGGCCTTTATTTATTTATTTATTTATTATTTATTCATTCTCTCATTGTTTAGTATTATAATTATTACTTTTTCGATTATTCTTAGTATTATTATTATATTTCTAAACTTGGAGAGTGGTTATGGTTTCTGTTAATTAAGCATTATCTATTAAGTTTCAGCTTGTAACTTCCAAAAATATATGGTAATCTACTTTCTTTTTCAAAATAATAATTAAAAAAATTTCAATAATTTTTTTAAAATTTTAAAATAATTTAAATCTTGGAACTGAGATCAGGAAGTAAAAAATAAAGAAAAAGAAAAAGAAAATTGGGTAAGTTAGGAAAAATGTACACACCACCAAACTTAACTCCAAAAAGGCTAAAACCTTAAATGCAGTCTTTGCAACTTACCTTAAATAAAGTCTCTGCATTTAATTGGGTAAGATAGGAAAAATATGTAATTTAGTGAATTCATAAATTTTAGAAGATTTGAATGTGCACCAGAGATAAATGTTGAACCTAGAAACCACAAACAAGTTTTTTGTATGAATTAATTTCTTTTTTTAAAATTGAACAAAAGAAAAGAACAACAAACATTTAAGTGCAAAAATATAATTAATTATGTATTTAAAAATAAATAGATAAAATTCTAGATTGGTATCAATTTAGACTTTTATCACTAAATTAAGAAAATAATCCATGTTTATATATGCTATCTATTATATAAAACAAGTATGATGTAAAAAAAAGAAACAAAATGCCTTCTTATTGGCCATGCAGAAGGAAACGCAAGGAATTCAAAAACTCAGAAAGTGTGGGAATACAAAAGCATGGAAAAGTGGGGCTCTCTATGGTCATGTAGTGTAGAAGAGATTGCCTTCATTTGTTGTGAAGATGGGAAATCCATGAAACTTAAAGAATATGGAATTACAGAACCTTTTTTTATCCAATGGCTGAGATTTCTGCTAATATTTATATATAAATTTTCCTAGTTAAGATAGTATTTATTTAAAATTTAAAATCTATTATTTTAAAATTAATTATTTTTTTCTTAAAATAAACATGGTAAAAATATTTTTAAACATAAAATTCTATTATTGTATAAGTATCACTATACTTACTTTATTTTTGTTTATTTGTTTTGTTTTGTTTTGTTTTGTTTTTTGTTTTGTTTGTTTGTTTTTTTTTTTTTTTTGTATAAGATGTGTAGAATTTAATTAACAAAAGACAATTATTAAGATTAGTTCAATGGAATCTTAAGATTAATTTACCCAAATCTTGTAATTGATTCAATCAAATTTAACTATATTTTAAGACTATGATTGTCAACAATATAAATCACAAACAACCAAAACATCAATACATTCTTATGTCACTCAAAAAGAATAGATATTTATTCAAAATTAGTATAATATTCAAATTGGAATAGTTATTATTAAAGACAAGAAAATTAGAAATTCTTGAAATAATACAAAAAAACAAAAAAAGACATTGATAAAAGTGAAGAAGGCTTCATTCTTACATCTATATATACTATCTAACTTACAACTTTGTGACAATGTTCTACAAGATGCTTTACACAAGCCCAACTTGTAAAATACATTATCTTGTTATGTGAAAACTAACTTAAAAATGCTCTAGACATTTAGTTGTGGAAGAATTTGGACTTACCTAAAAATTTGATTTATGGTCTAAAAGAATACTTAAGATATTTGAAAATATTCGTTGGGAGTCTTAAAAAATCTAATTAAGCTTCTAATTATCTTAAATATATATTATTAATCTTAGAAAAATCTTAGATATATCTTCTTATACTATAATTAATTCTAAAAAAATCTTAAATAATTTTTAATATATATTAATTAAATCCTAATTAATCTCTAATAAAATCTTAATCAAATTCTAATTAAGTCCTATTCAAATATTAAATCTTAAACCTTAATTAAATCTTAATAAAATCCTATAGGAGATTATAAATCTTAAAAATTAATAATTTAATTGATATTTTTGGCTCAAAACGTGTTCACCTTTCAACCTCTTAGTTGACAACAAGCAAAAGAAATATGAAGATAATCAAAGCTACCAACAAGGAGATAAATCTCAAAATCCACTTGGATGTCAATTAGAATCATTTTCCAATCTTTATGCCAATCTCCCTATGCCAATGTCTCTCAATTTTACCATTCACTTTCTATCAAATTTTGCACAGTTTTTGGATATCAAATTTGCTACTAATGTGCCAAATTTTATCTAAATCCAACTAGTAGGCTATTACAAATCTTAGAAATCCTTATTAATCTTTTAACTCCAATTTTTGAGACCTTAATCTACTTGAGTTTTTATAACCTTTAAATTAATTATTTAATCAATATTAAACTTTTAATATACATATAATACAACTATAATGATGAATCTATAAATTTTACTTATAAATCCACTATAAATCTTACAAAATATTTCAAAGTATAAATCTTTTTTATTTCTCAAAAACCAAAGTTATTTTAAAACAATTTTGACTTTGTATAGCTCTTATAAAGTCATTATAAGTTAAAATCACTCAAAATTAATTTTTAAAGAATTTTTCTTTGATTTATTCTTAAAATCCTATTTTCACACACACACACACACACACACACACACACACACACACATATATATATATATATATATATATATACACACATACACATACACACATACACATATATATATATATATATATATATATATATACATACACACATACACACATACACACACACACACATATATATATTTAAATAAGAAGTTTTGGATAGGAGATAAATGTAAGTAGATTTGATATTATCTTGTAGCAAAGGTTCTTCAAAGCTACATAAATGCATATTTGATTTTAGATGTATTTGTAATTAATTAGTAGGTTAGAATCTTAGCCAATAAATTAGTCACATATTGCATGTGCTAGTAGCTTGTGAAACAAGCTAATTAAATGACATACATATAAAAAAAACATCTTGTAAATCAAACATGTGTCTCTTAAGTTGGACATGTGTTGGAGGTCCAATAAAACATCACCATGTAGCTCTTAATTAGATAGTATATATAGAGGCAAGAATAAAGAAAATTTCATTCTTATCAATGATTTTCTAATTCTTTGTCTTGTTTCAAGACTTTTTAATCTTCTTATATTTAGTAGTAGCTATTTTAATATTATATTATATCACCATTGAATAATTTTTTAATTTTTTTGAGTGATATAGAGTGTGTTAATCTTTTAGTTTTTTAAAATTTATGTCTTTGAAAATTTGGCAAGAGTACTAAATCATTGTTTTGTCAAGGAAAAAATTCCAATAAAAACAAATAAACAAGTGAAACTTTTCTCAAAGAAACATGACAAAATAGAAATAAGAAAACATATATATTAAAAAGAAATTAGAATGGCCATTAAAAAAAGATTAAAGACTCTTGAATTTAAACTAGATCAAGAAAAGAACTGACAAGAGTGAAAAAGGCTTTATTCTTGCCTTTATATATACTATTCATCTACAAGCTATATGACAACGTTCTATAGGACTTCCAACATGTGTTGACTTTGCAAGCCACATGTTTTAACTTGTGAAGTAAGTTTTCTATATGTGTGCCACATAGTTAACTTGTTTGACAATCTATCTATATGTGTGATACGTAGCTAACTTGTTGACCAAGTTATTAACCTAAAAATCAACTATAAATAGGTATAAAGTAAAAATCATATCTATAAAGCTTTTAAGAAGCTTTTTAAAAAGATATTATAAAATTAATTTATTTTTATCTACTTTTATCTACTTTTATCTACTTCTTTTTAATCTAATAGGTAATTATTAGAATAAATAAATAAATATATTATAAAATAGATATTAATTCGTTTCTATAAGATATTAGTAAAATAGACTAATAGTCCATAGAATAGTCAGTTCAGGAGGATGGATGATTGTATTAGTTATTAAAAGCAATTAATTACAGAATTACGGTTAGAATTTGGGAATTAGGAGCAATTATATAAGAGTTGTAGAAGTTTGTTGGAGTTGAGATTGATTTATGAGTTATTGATTATGTAATTGGAGTACTGAGTGATTGAATTATATGAGAAGTTATTAGAAGATTATGATTGTTGTTTATTGAGAGCTGTGTGTGTTTTGGACAAAGGAAGTTGGTGATTACAAAAATTTTGTGAATTTAGATTGGTTGAAGTGAAGTTTGTTATTCCTCGTGTGATCCTAATAAGCAAAATTCATGCACTTAGTCTTTCCCTGTGTTCGAATTCCCCTATACAAGTTTATTCTGAAAGAAATTGTAGAATGAGTAAAACGACAATCATATTTTGGTGCCGCTGTCAAAGATAGATAATAACATTGAATTTTAGGAATTAACTGTCGGTTTAGTGTCAAGGACAAAGACTCGATGAGGAAAAATATACACCAAAAGGCTATCTCGATATAATAAGTCAAAATATAAACAAGTAGGTATATTAAAAGGAAACTGGAATGGCTATTGCCACAAGACAAGAAACTAAAGACTCTTGAACCTGGACTAGAAGCAAGAAAGGAGTTGACAAGAGTGAAGAGGGCTTCACTCTTGCCTCTATATATACTATCTAACTAGAAGCCACATGGCGATGTTCTATAAGACCTCCAATATATGTTGACTTTCTAGGCCACATGCCTTTGCTTGCAAGGCAAGTTTTCTATGGATGGACCACGTAGTTAGCTTATTCTTTAAGCTTCCAACATGTGTGGCACATGGCTAACTTGTTGACCAAGTTTCTAGCCTAAAAGTCAACTATAGACTCCTATAAAGTCAAAGCAGCGTCTATGAAGCTTCTAAGAAGCTTCTCTAGAAGATATTACACAATT